GACGGCCGTGTCGGAGCGTCTATAAAATACCCGGTTGGATCGAGGTAGAATGGAGGGTATATCGAGAAACCCCCTCTTGTGTCTGTAGTATAAAGTTCACTGTAGGTGCCGAGCGCGAGATTCCGCTCAAGTCATTCAACGAGTGTGGTCACTCTACTAGTGCTAAGATAGTGTCGTGGTTCTGTTCGTTGTTGTAATTCTTCTATTGCAGACAAGGAGGATTGGTGTTGCTGAGATGCTGTCCAGTGTTACATTGAGATAAGAAGTGTTGCTGTTGGTTTACATATTTTGGTGTTATCATGTAATTACGTACCTCACGTTACACTGGTGTGTGATTGTGGCGGAGACGTGTTACGGTGTGGTCGAACTGTAATTTCACTATACTGGATGTATAGTGCGTTACGCTGTCTTATTACTGATAATGATTAACTGCGTAAGCAAGAGAGCAAGTTGAACATCCGCTCTCACACTTTTATTATTTTTAACAATTAACGCTATCCTGATGTATCTCAGAGATCAAAATTGTGATCCTGTATTGTAATCTCCGACATCAGAAGTGGAATCTCCTGTTGTCATTTCCGACAAATATATCGATAAAAGTTTTATCGATAGAATTATTCGAGGATAGACATTTACAGCACTATTAGAAATCGCCTATGTTGTCAGCACTGTTTGTCAAAAATTAATTGTCATGTCTTGATGTTGGTAGAGTAGCTTGGCGCAATGTCATACATTTACTTTTTCTTAGGAAGTCCCGCACAGGCTCGCGCAACTTCCATAGTAAAAATTGTATGTACTACAGGGGTCAAATTTTAATGACGGTTATCTCTTCTTCCCGTTTTTCGTAATATGTCTATTAACGACATTGTCAAATCAAATAGGTTCAAATGTCAAATCAAACAATTACATTTGTATATATTTTATTTATTAAGATTGCTTTAAATTTTAATATAGAAGCTGTTGTTCATTTACAGAATTGTTAAAAAAATAAATATGCATTATAAAATTTGCCAATTAAATGGTACAAGAAGCGGAAAACATAATAACAAGAAAAGGCTATTCGTAGCAATATTTCCCTTAGATGATTAAAAATATGTGGTGAGTTTAACTTTAATTGTAATATGATGTTTAACGCGACTACATTTTTGGACTAGCCAGATGGCTAGTCCATGGCTGTAGATACATGGGACAGGTTTTAATAGTGTACGATTGTGTGTACAAATACAAACACACAATTTCCTAAATCTGATAGTTCGATGGGAAGGCAATCCGAAACCAACTATACTTAGAAACTGCATCATCAATTGTGACTAATAACATTCTATTTGTTCAATAATAATGTGATTTTATTTATATTATTTTTCAGATGCAAGCAATGGGCGAAACAGCTGACACATGCACCAATTGAAAAGATTCACATGTTAAAACATATTTGTAGCAAACATTGCATTTGAACCCAAATGAAACGAACTGTTATTTCATCAGTGGACTTAATTTAAACTTCCACAATTATGTGTATGTTAATTAGGTTTCATTCACATGTAGCAAAAGATAATATCCCTCTAAAGTCACATATTCGTAAGAATTCGATTATATAACTAAACTTAAAGTTATTTGTAATTACCTGGTTATAAATATTTTTTTATAGATTCATCTACAAACATTAGCAATAATGAGCACTCATTTTGAAAGCGACAATTAGTAAACGATCTCTGCGAGTAGTAAGTACGTAGGTACCTCTGTGAAGAAGCCTAGCGATTTGTACATAGTATTTGTTACACTTAAAAGCAATTTAATCCAATTAGTGTTAATAAACCCAATTTTATACCCTTTAAAAAAACTGACGTTGAAAACAAGCATCCAGACGCAGACTATTTATTTTACAACATAGCAACACTTGTTCAGTGCGGGAACGAATCCTCGGTCCAGCAATGCCGCAGCCAAACGCTTAGCCTCTGCGCTACGGAGTCGTCATTTAGTTTTTACTTAATTTAGTATAATAACGCGTTTTAATTTTATATTTTCTTTACACATATTTTTGTACCTAATAACTGTAGAGATATAATTACAAATTTCTGCGTGTAAAATACAATGATTTATTATCCTAATCGGCATTTTTACTCAATCCCCAGGTTAAAAAAAAAGTATTGCTCATAAATATTTCAGTATAGAGAACTCACTTTTATTATGTAAAATATCGATAAACAATATATCGATAAAGGTTATATCGATACAATTATTCGAGGATAGACATTTACAGCACTATTATAAATCGCCTATGTTGTCAGCAATGTTTCTCAAAAATAAAATATCTTGTCTTGATGTTGGTAGAGTAGCTTGGCGCAATGTCATACATTTACTTTTTCTTAGGAAGTCCCGCCTCTTAAAAGTAGTGGTTATATTCTCTTTGGTCCCGCCTCTTAAACGTAGGGTTATATGCTCTTTGCTACCTGCGCCACTTTAAAATACAATAATGTTAGTGTGTAACCTGTCTATCTTTTTAATACGTCTTTGCCTAAAACTTTGTTTTATTCTATTATTAAACATTGCACTATTTTAACTTATAATACCGCTGAAAACTACTAGACAATCGCTTTTACTTTTTTTTAGGTTATTGTGATATTCATATTTTAATTAATGATTACTTATTTTTACGCGAACACTACACATTTAAATAAAACTACTATACACCACCCATGGTCACGGGGACCATGTGTGTTGTAAAGCACCCGAAACGTCGGGCATATAAGTTAATATACGCGATAAAATCCGTAAAACTAGTTTTATGTAAAGATATTTTAATTGTTAATTTCTCAGTATTCCCGATAGATGCTGTAAAACTAGTATTGTAATCTATAGATCATGAGGAATAAATCGACTTGTATTTCAAGTTACGCTACAATTTGCGGTAGGCCCATTCTCCATACAAAAATAAATTTTCTCCTTTTTTGACTTATCAATATTTATAAGTAATTATTGCGTAAATACCTCAAATTTTTCGTGAGTTATCGTGACCACGTAAAAACAATACGAACGTCCACGGAATTTCTTATTCAGTTTTCTTAAAGTAGCAAAATAAACTTGATTTATACAAAATATAAGATAGATTGATTAAATTTTCTTGAAATAAATCTAGTCATATTATCGTATGAATGCAAATCAGTGGTAGATGTAGAGGTAGTTAAAGAGCAAAAAATTTCTGGGCCTTGACGTGTTGAGAGTAAAGCACAACCTCAACCGCTTCGCGGTATGAGATGTGCGATACTTGCAAAAAAAAAAAAGAAATTGTGTACTTTACAAAAAGATATGAAATCCGAATAAAAACAGTTTCACTGTAAAGCATCGCGCCAAGTACACTTTCAACTATAGTTACAAAAATAATAATTACATTTTTACAAAAAATTATAAAATAAAAAGAAACCAAGTACATACCCGTTTTAGATTCGAAAAAAAAACTTTTGCTGAAAAAAGTAATAATAAAAAAATGATGGTATCTACAAAACTCAGGTTATCCCCATTTAAAATTTCATTAGTATTTAATTGTTTGACATTTGGAGTCATGAAATTCATACATTTCGTTTTAGTGCCATTTAAATGCAAATTATTAACATTGAACCAATTTACTAATTTAGATATAGCATTATTTACTTCGTCATATTTTAGTAATTGTCGACTTAATTTGAAAATTAAAGAAGTGTCATCTGCAAATAATACTATATCATGGTTATCCCCTACTATGTAAGGTAAGTCATTAATGTATACAAGAAACAGAAAGGGGCCGAGAATTGAGCCTTGAGGCACGCCCATTTGTACCATCGATCCGGAAGCTCATATTGTTAATGACGTTTTCTTACTTAAATATGAAATAATTAATTTAAGGGCATCACTTCTTACACCGTAGTGTTGAAGTTTCCTGATTAATGTTTCATGGTGAAAACAATCGAAGGCCTTGGATAGGTCACAAAATATACCCAAAGCATCCTGTGAATTCTCCCATGCATTAAAGATATATTTAATCAGCTCAACACCGGCATCAGTTGTCGAGCGACTCCTTGTGAAACCAAATTGATTTTTATGAAGTAAATAATTTGTATTAAAAAAAATTACATTTGATCAAGAATAATTATTTCAAAAATCTTACTAAGTGTTGGTAGTACAGAAATAGGTTTAAAATTGTCGGAGTCTAATGTACTACCAGATTTAAATAAAGGTATGACTTTACTATGTTTCATTAAATCAGGAAACACACTAGATTCGATACTAGTATTAAAAATAATAGCTAAATGAGGCGCGATTGTATCTATTATAGACGCAATAACTTTAACGGAAATCCCCCACAGATCCGCAGTTTTCTTAACATCAATATTTTTAAAATATTTTACAATATCTTTTAATGACACTTTATGAAATGTAAAATTCTTTGTACACGCATTTACATTTTGTTTAAGTAATGATTCGGCGACGGCTAGAGAAGAATTCAGTGACTTAGTGGTTAAGATCGGAATATCAGTAAAATATTTCTCAAAAACCATTGCTACGTCCTGATCTGATACAGTTAATTTGTTGTTAACACTTAACTGGTAATTTGAATTGCGAGAGTTGATCTTACCTGTTTCGCTATTAATTATACTCCATGTCATTTTAATTTTATTGGAAGCCGTCTTAGACGAAAGTTTATCGAACAAATCAGGAACATATTGAAGATGGGCCAGATAAAGAGTATCCTCAATCGACGAGCATGTATGCGTAGGTACATGGATGTAAAATAGGTGAGTGCGGTGAGTCAGAATCGTGTCAAATGGAAGTCTAGTCTCTGCCTAACACTTTGGATGACAGGAGTGAGTGTTTATATAATAGACGTTTCGCAATCAAACAGACATTTAACAAACAAAGGTGTTTTATTGCACAATTCCCTGTTTTGGTTGACTTATCTATGAAAACGATAACGTGTAGTTTTTAGGTTATAAATGATACACAGTTGATTATGAAATGAAGTTTAATTAGTTCCACGTAGTACGGTTGTTGCACTCTAGGGTGGCGTCACGCGTTGCTAGTGTGGGGGCGGGGGCGGGCGTGGGCGCGGGCGCGCGGCGCGCCACGATGACGCGCGTGAGGCGGCCGCGCGCGCCGCGCCCCCGCGCCGCGCCGCCGCCCCCGCGCCCGCCCCCGCGCCCGCGCCCGCTCGACTGTACTGAATTAAAATAAAATTACACTAAATAAAATTATTTATCACTGGGCAGACAACTTCTGCCTTATACACAAAAGTAATAAAAATCTACTATTTTCACATGAAATTTAAATATCTACCTTGATAATTAAATTAAATTATCGTCTGAGCCTTAAAGACTATTAAACATTTTAGTTGAGTCACCTGACGGAACAAGCGGGGGCGGCTCGTCGTCTGCGAACACGATGGGCAATTGCAGGATGTCCGCGACGTCCAGCGGCTGCGGCGGCTGCGACGGCTGCGAAGACTGCGGGAGGTCGCGACGAGGTGGCAGCAGCGCCAGCGGCGTGCCGCCCGACACGCGCGACACCACGCGCGCCCTGCGCACCATACGCACACATACAATACGCCACACCACTCACCACACACACACGCACGCATGCACGCACGCACGCACGCACGCTCGAAACTGAAATACTCTCTTAAAGCCACTATTACAAACCTCCAGGAACAACTCAACACTCAGTCACAATCCCTGCTTCGAAACGAAATGGAGATATGGGCATCATGTGAGAACCTGCAACACATTGTCTTAGTTACGGCTTCTAAGGTTTACCCTAGTTAACGACGGCATTGATTCCGTTGTTCGTCTAGGGCGTCGACGAGACCTAATCAACCAAAAAAGTCAATTTAAAGGACCCCAACCTGTTATAGTGCGCTTTCTAAGAAGTGGCAAGCGAGATGAATTTTTTAGGGGCGAAAAAGGCTAGACGTGACCTCACCAACTTAGATATTCAAGATCAATGACCTCCCAGGAAACTATAATGAACATCTTGCAAAATATAATATTACAGTTACAGATACAGCTGGATTAAAAATAGAAATGTGAAAATGAATGAAGTCCGTACCATATGAAGTGCTGCTGACATGGATCGATATCTCGTTTCCCAGGACCATCCATGTATTCCATCTTCCTTTCCACACCAAGACGATAAATCAAATTAACCTGCTTAGCTTGTTATTAAGTTTGTTTATTTTTATGCCTGTTATTACTAGATATTAATGGTAATGATTTTTCGCAGCCGTATTATGACTATATTTCTCTAATTTTCATTGATAATTTATGCCAAACAAAAGTAAAAAATAAAGTATTAGTTTACCAATAATTATTAAAAAAAAAGATTACTTCACCCATTCATAACATATGTATTTAATAGTCTTAGCTTTTTCAAAATAGTCGTAAAGGAATTTCTTTCCCAATCATATTATGTTAAATATATTTTTAATGAAAGAAAATCACTACTACGAGGGTGACACTGAAAGTTCTTAGAAAATCAAAAACTGAACAAACTAGCATGCTATTAGTTTTATTATATCTTTTCAAAATAGTGTCCATTTACATCAAAACATCGCTGCATCCAATGGAACCACTGAGGAAAATACTTTTACCACTCCTTAGGAGTCTCTTCGACGGCATTTTGAAACACAGCCACTGCTTCCTCGGCGTCCATAAAACGTTTTCCTCGAAGTTTATCTTTTATTTTATTTTTTAAATAAATAAAAATCACAAGGTGCGAGGTCGGGTCTATAGGGCGGGTGACCCAGTAAATCCACGTCTGCTGTCACCAAGTAGTCGATTGTTTGCTTGGCGGAGTGCGACGCGGCGTTGTCGTGGTGAAGGAGGATCCTACTGCGAGGTCGTTTCTCCCGAACTTTCTCCAAGACAAGTGGCAAACAACTGTTAGTGTACCACTCTGCAGTAACTGTTTTTCGATCCTCTAAAACAATTGTTACGTAATGACCTGTTCTTCCGAATAACGAGGCCACCATATTTTTTTCCACGCTTCGACCTTTCTTAACTTTAATATAATAATTCCTCGGAAGGAAACACCACCGAGACAGCAGATTCTCTTAGTTTCAGGATCATAGCAATAAATCCAGCATTCGTCACCCGTAAGTATATCGAACACAGCATTTGAGTCACCTCTGTAAAATCTTTGAACCATTTTACGACACCAATCAACACGACGGAGTTTTTGGGTCTCTTGTCTAATTATGAGGTATACACTGTGTTTAGACGATTAAGTTTAGTTTTTATGACGAACGACAGTTTATAATTTTGAATTTTTTATAAAAAAATATGTAGAAAAAGCAATGTGACGTTTTCAACAAATAAAATATAACATGTGCAGTGTTTAATTTAAAATAAGTAGTGGTGTAAACATTGGTCCTACGAGTTTCGGATAAAGGTTATTACATGACTATAGAAATTATTACCTAAACTGCGCTAAGTCTGAAAATATTATGTGATAAATTTCAACAATAACTTACGAGAAGTATTGCTATATAAATCAGTAAAATAATACTTAGAAATTGAATTGATGATATAATTTACACACAATAGCAATGATTGATGTATGCAACGAATTATTAGAACAAATAACTAAGTTATATACAAATTATAAAAAGACTCCTACAATTCGTCATACAATTAGTTATGTTGAAACTAGAAGTGAGTTATTACAAGATTATTGGCAAAAATTTACAACGGAATATATGTCATTAATCCGTACAGATATGAGTAAAGAGGAAAAGAAAATGTTGAAAGAATTGTACTCTCAAACCGAAGAATTATACTTAGAATTTAAAACAATTTTAAAAGAAAATATCTCGTCACATAATTCTACATCAATATCTCATAGTTCACCTACTGCAAGTACTAGCCTTTCACAAACAAAGTTACCACCCATCAATCTTCCTACGTTCTATGGTAATTATCGAGATTGGCTTAATTTTATAGATTTGTTCAGTTCATTGATACATAATGAAAAACGGCTGAGTGACATCCAAAAACATCACTATTTAAGGTCAAGCTTATCAGGTGAAGCTGAGCAATTGCTTCGACATTTAGATATCACTGCTGCTAATTACCAGAAGGCATGGGAAACATTAGTCCATCGGTATAGTAATAAGAGGATAATTGTAAACACTATATTGGCACGATTAATGAATCAAAAGAAACTCACCGTAGAATGTTCAAAGGATTTAAAGGAACTCGTAGATACCACAAATTAAAGTCTCAACAGACTGGCTAATTTGGATATCGACACTACCTACTTGGGATCCTATGATAGTACACATTGTCGTATCTATATTAGATATTGAAACACACAAATGTTGGGAACAATCATGGGATCTTCTACGGATCTACCTAAGTATAATGCGTTAACCTCTTATTTAGAAGGACGTTTTAGAGCGATGGAGATGGTACAAAATGTCCAGAAAAAAGAAAAAAAGGAATCATCACAGGTTAATCCACACATGACAGGTAAAACAAAACCTATTTAGGCTTTTTCTGCTGAAGTTAATGCTGAATGTACTTATTGTAAGAAGCATCACTATATTTGTCACTGCACAGAATTTACACAATTGGATGTAGAGCAACGTAGAGCATTCGTTAAGAATAACGGACTTTGTTTAAATTGCCTAGTGAAAGGCCATTCTATCAAGTTTTGTAGACAAGATACAACTTGTAAAAAATGTAACAAAAAACACCACACTTTATTACACTCTACTACATACGCTGCTAAAACTATAATTGCAGAACCTGCGAGCACATCTGAAGAAAAAAAATATGTTGAAGACTTACCAAATGTCAAGAGCTTAAGAGTATCCGTAAATGAAAACCAAGTTCTTGCTACAGCATTGATTGGTGTGAAAAACAGAAACGGTAATCTAACGATCAAGGCTCTCAGGCAACTTTTATTACAGAATCTGCAGTACAGCATTTAGGTTTGAAGAAGACACAATATGGGGAAAATATTACAGGTCATAAAAAATAACATCGCTATTAAAGCACAACATGTAGTTCAATTTGATATTCACTCAATATTAGATTCAAAGTAATGGCCTGGTATTATGAAGCTAAAGTTAGCAGACCCGCGATTACACAAGCCAGGGCCCATCGGTATTTTGTTAGGAGCAGAAGTATATGTTTCAATTATACTAGAAGGTTTACACAAATATAGATCTCTCATTGCACAAAACTCACGGTTGGGATGGTTAGTATCAGGCGCCACCCAGACACAAATTGATCGACTTGCACATACAATGTTAGTCGATTATTAAGCAAGTTTTGGGAGATAGAAGAATACAAACCATTTGAGAAACCTTTATCACAACTTGATCAACAATGTGAAGAACACTATGTAAAAACACACACAAGAAACAATAACGGGCGCTATGTAGTGCGCTTACCATTCAAAGATTCACATGAAAATAATTTAGGTGATTCAAGACAAATAGCACTCACTAGACTTTATCACATGGAGAAAAGGTTCAGACAAAAACCTAAATTTCGACAAGATTACATAGATTTTATAGACCAATACCAAAATTTAAATCACATGGAAGATGTAGATCCTAATGAAAAGCCCAAATACAAGATCTATTATCTACCACACCATGCAGTAATAAGGGAGTCCAGCACTACTACTAAACTAAGAGTTGTCTTTGATGGCACAGCACAACCTTCTAATGGAACAGCATTGAATAATGAGTTGCTAGTCGGACCACCCTTACAACAAGACTTAAGGGATTTAATTATTCGTTGGCGTACTCACAAAATCTGTTTATTAGTTGACATAAAACAAATATATAGACAAATATTAGTTGCGAAAGAAGAAACTGACTATCAGCGTATTCTTTGGCGTAAGTCACCTCTAGACAAGATTGTAGAAAAACGTTTGTTTACAATTACATATGGGACTGCTTGTGCTCCGTTTCTAGCCATTCGTACCCTTAAACAACTAGCGCAAGATGAATAACTAAGTTTTCCAGATTTAGTTGATATTATGAATAATGATTTTTATATGGACGACTTATTAACCGGTGCGAATGACGAGGAACAAGCGAAGAAGCTACAGAGGAGAATTACTCAAGTGATGTTTAAAAGTAAATTTGAAATGCATAAATGGGAATCTAACAATGTTGCAGTTTTAAGAGAAATTCCAAGTTCACATAAAGTAGCTAATGAAAGTGTTGAAATAACTATGGATAATGCTATCAAGGCCCTTGGAATACGATGGAATATGCTCAAAGATGTTTTTGAACTAAAAATTGATATTACTACTCAGAAAAAACCATTCACTAAAACTGCAGTACTATCGGATAGAGCAAGATGTTTTGACCCGTAAGGATTTTTAGGATCTGTTATAATAACTGCGAAAATATTTTTACAAAAAATATGGTTAAGTGGTGTTAGTTGGACAGATGAACTTCCAACTGAACTTGCAAGTGAATGAGTTAGTTACAGAAATGAGTTGTCACAAATGGGTAAATAGACTTAGAACGATGGATGCATATTACTGTGATGGTTCAG